AAAAAAAAAAAAAAGCAGCAGCTTCTCTCAGGTCTCAGTGTCAGGAAAAGCCGGGCTCTCGGGAAAACTCACTGGTTTTGATCACATGTCTCAGAGGCCCTGTGACTCCCGTCACAGATTAAGCCGTCCCTCTCTCCTCTGGTTCTAGGCCCTTCCTGAACGGCTGGATAGAACCGTGCTGTGCTCTGCTCTGTCCTCGTCTGCTACCCCTGTTCTCCCTCGCCCAGACTGCTCTTACATGGGATGTATTTTCCCGACTGCCTCAAAGTCCACGCACTAAAGGATGGGCAGGTAGGAAGGGGCAAGTTTTTAGGGGCAGACAAATAGGAAAGCTGAAACACATTAGAACTGGCTTCAGACAAAATAGGGCAAAGGGTTAAATGAGACTGGAGTGTATGCAAGAATGCTTAGTCTTCACTTTGAATTCCTTCCTTCCATCCTTCCTTCCCTGCACAATAAACCCCAACAGCCTGGAGTCTGCCGTGATCACCACTGAACCTCCTAGGCTCCTCCACGCACACCTGTTGTCACAGGTGCCAACAAAAAGACCTCTGGAGCCCCAAAGAGCAGAGATTGTACCTGGGTGCTGCAAGTTCATTCACAGGCTGGAAGAAAATGTCCGAATCCCAGGAATCTAGAGATTCTCAAAGGGGCCTGAGAGATCTCAAAAAAGTTAGAAAATGTAAAAAATGAAATTTTAAAACACAACTTTCTATCACTGTGGAGATTTACATTTTAAAAAGTTAGTATTGTGAATCTCCTAAAAGCATTTTAAGGTTGTTCATTTCAGATTTTTCTCTAAAAAGGAACTGTTTGTTTCTTGCATAAGAAAGAAATGGCTCAAAAAAAGAAGATAGCAGGAGGGAAAGAATGAAGGGGGAGAAATCGGAGGGGGAGATGAACCATGAGAGACGATGGACTCTGAGAAACAAACTGAGGGCTCTAGAGGGGACGGGGGTGGGGGGATGGGTTAGCCCCATGATGGGTATTAAGGAGGGCACGTTCTGCGTGGAGCACTGGGTGTTATACGCAAACAATGAATCATGGAACACTACATCAAAAACTAATGATGTAGTGTATGGTGATTAACATAACATAATAAAAAAAACTAAAAAGAAAGAAATGACTCTGTGACTGAATCTTTTTTTTTTTATTATTCATTCGAGACACAGAGATACAGAGAGAGAGAATATGAGCAGGGGGAGAAGCAGGCCCCCCACCGAGCAGGGAGCCCAATGCAGGGCTCGATCCCAGGACCCTGGGATCATGACCTGAGTTGAAGGCAGACGCCCAACCATCTGAGCCACCCAGGCGCCCCTCTGTGACTGAATCTTGATTATCACTTGAGAGGTGCCCAGGAAGGTCAGTGCGAGCCCAAGCTCTGGATGCTCTTGAACTGGCAGTGATTTGGCTCTGGAAGCAGGGTCCCTGCTTCGCTGGCAGAACTACCCCCCGGTGCCCACTCACCACCATTAATGAGAGCTACATACATGCATCCACCCAACAGGTCCCTGAAAAAGAGAGAAGTCATCCAGGGAGCAGGCGTCCATCTCAGGAGAATCTATAAGGCAAGGTCACACCCAGTGACAGGTAAAAGACAACCCTCTTTTCCACTGCTTTGCTTGTTATCCAGAATTATTTCGTCCTCATTGTGAAATGAATATGAGCTCAAAATCACAGGCTGGAGCTCCATCCACACTGTTATTATATTCTGTCTAGGTCAGCACAGTTAAATATGGTCAAAGACCGTGAACTCGGACACTGCACAACACAAGGAAACCTGAAGAAAATACCAGCATGAATACTGGCAAGATTCAAGATAGCTCTACCCATCAAGAAGATTCTGGAGAGGGGCGCCTGGGTGGCTCAGTCGTTAAGCATCTGCCTTCGGCTCAGGTCATGATCCCAGGGTCCTGGGATCGAGCCCCGCATCAGTCTCCCTGCTCGGCGGGAAGCCTGCTTCTCCCTCTCCCACTCTCCCTGCTTGTGTTCCCTCTCTCGCTGTCTCTCTCTGTCAAATAAATAAAATCTTTAAAAGAAAAAAAGAAGAAGATTCTGGAGAGATCAGAAAGTTTAGAAAACAATGTCATAAGCTCAGAAGGTACTCAACAAATGATAGGAGTGTGGAATAGGACAGATAGCCAGAACAGCAGAACTGAAGAGACTAAATTAAGGGTGGTCTGAATCCAGGTTGTAATAAGATTTACTTACATAGAATATTCCGTGTGCAAATGTATATTTAAACTTCACTGTATGACTAGAGATGAAGAAAAGCGAATCCCTGAACTAAGTCAATTAAGACAGTCACAGGGGCAAGTGGTGAGATAAAACACCAATGGGTCCCCCTTGTGGACAAGATGGCTCTCATTGACTATGGTAAATGGACAAGATGGCTCTCACTGACCAGGGTAAGTGGACAAGATGGCTCTCACTGACCAGGGTAAGTGGACAAGAT